TGGCTTATGTAAGTCACCATGATACGTTTGCAATTCTTTTTAAAAGTTGAGTGTACTCATGATGGTTCCACACCAGATTGCTGTTTCAGAACATCATAGGTTTTCTTTTGGCCTAATAGTATTTGGTGCAATGCTTGATACATTTAATTTCTCAGAACAGATATTGTAATGCTCCAGTGCCTAAGAACATTTGGTGTTCTCATTATTTAACAGCGTCCTATTCTTCCTTCAACTATTTAATAATGCATATGTAGTTTGGTATAGTCTCTGTAGGATTTGGAGAACTGAGAATACCCTCACTTGTTTTTTTTTGCTGTATTTATTGATTACTAGTCTGTTTCCACTGGTTAAATGTAAGCTCTCTGAGGGCAGGGATTATTGTTTTGTTCATTGGTATCCAAATGTCTTCATCAGTGTCTGATGCATAGTAGGAACTCAGTATCTATTTGCCAAACGAATGACTTTGTGACCTTAGAAATAATAGAGAGGGGAGCAAGAGTATTTTGGGTGGTGGGTATAGTTATGGTGAGTTGTACTTGTGGTCACTGAACAGAGAATTGCCTTCCAGGAAGCTTAGCAGTGACGAGATAGAGGGAGGGCAGAAGATTGAAGGAAACATAGAGTTCAGGGTGCTCAGGAGGACTTTGTTTTGTTTGTGTGTCTTTTTAATAGAAGAAAAGGAGCATATTTATATATTAAATGCAAAGAGCTAGTAGAGAGGGAGAGCTTAGAGATAGGAGAGAAATATATTTGATAGAGCAAGGACCTTGGGAGAAAAAAAGCAGGGATTGGGATATAGGAGGATTAGCTTTGGCCAGGAGGGTGAGATACCTCCTCTGCTGGGGCAGAAAGGAAGGAGAGAATAGGCCCCACTGCAGGAAAGTTTGTAGGTGGAAAGGTGTAAAAGTTGAAGTCATTTTTATTGGATAATGGAGATATTCTGAACGAAGTTGGGGCGGGGGGTTGAGAATTGCAGCCAAGATTGATAGGGTAGGAGTTTTCGGGAGGAATGTGAAAGAATGGACTGCCCATGAGGGGAAATAGGAGAAGCGAAGGGAGAAGAGCTGTAGAGTGATACAGAAGGACCAGTTGAGTGAGGTGAGTGACCATGAATTTGCACGTTTTACTGTCAATCATTAATCAGATTGTCCCCTCCTATTCAGTAAACAATGGGAGGGTCACCTTCTTGTCAATCATGTGTGACAAGTTTCCCTCAAAGTGTATGACTCTTCCTGGGTGTGTTCTCCTTTTCTTGATCTTGTCTGTGAAATCTTGCGAGTTCCCTGTTTTAGGATCCATAACTCAGGTGTGATTTATATTATCCCTTCTGTTCTAAAAAGAGTTGCTACAAATGTAAGAGAATGTGTCAAAAATGGTTGGTATCAAAATGATGACTANCTGTAATATTATTAGTACCGCTGCTTTTGAGAGACTGCAAGTAATTCAGTGAGGGCTGATGTAAAAGGAAAAGGCAAAATCTGAAGTTAGAAAGGTTGGCACAAAATAGGTCATAAAGTTTCTTAGAGGGCAGGATATAGAGGTCCCATTTGATCTGAAGAGGTGAGGGGAGCTAGTGAAATGAATTTAAAGAAGAAAAGTGAAATGGTCCTATTTGCATTCTTGAAAGAACTTTCGGCAGCATCATGGGAAATCCATTGAAAAGAGACCGAGGGGAAGCAGGAGAGTGTCTACTCCTAACTTATGTATTAAAGTAGACAGGATGAAGGCCTGCACTTGGGCAGTGACAATAGAGGGTGAGGGCAGATATGAAAGAAGGGCAGAGGAGGTCCGCAGGACTGCGGTCTGTACTGAGTAGATGTTGGGGATGGACAAGGAAGGGAGGAGTTCACATTGCCTTGGTTTCTGGCTTGGGTGGCTGGATGAATGATGGTGGCTTCCCCCGAAAAGGACAGCCCAAGGGAGGGGCAGGTTAGAGGAAAAAGTTACCTTGGAATTACTGAGTTTGCCTGGATGGTAACCTAGTAGAGCTATACAATATTTGTTTGGATATATTAATAAAGCACTCAGGAGAGAACTGGGTTGGAGATCTGTATATTAGTCATCAATATATTGGTGGTGATTGAAGTCAGAGCTTGGATGAGGTCACCCAGGGAGAGTTATGTGGAGTGTAGACCTGAGGATGGCCTCCTGGATAACACCAACATTTAGGAAGCTGTGTCAGTCAAAATGGGCTAGGGCTATGCAGCAGTAACAAACAACCGCCAGGTCTCGTTGCCTTAACGTGAGGGAAAGTCTATTTCCTGCTCATGCTACTGTGTTCAGTAAGGTTGAGTAGCTGGTTGCTGCTCCTCGTGATGGCATCTCCATGTTGACACAGCTTCCACGATTGTTTCCAAGTCAGGAAACAGAACTCCAGTGTTACCCTTTAGGGGAGCTATACAGAGGTGCATAGCGAATGGTTGCCAGCACAGCCTTTACCAGACGACATGTGCATATACCATATGCTTTATGCTAAGGGCTTTATGTGGACAATCTTATTTACTTATTATAGCAACCCCAATAAAAGAATTGTAATTATGCATTGCACATCAGGCACTTTTACAAATGCCCTGTGAATTAGCTTACAACTACCCAGTGAGGTAGGTTTGTCATTGTCTCTATTTTTCAGGATGGAATAAAAGATGGAGTAAACCATGCACTGGCTCTTAAAGCTACTACTTTAAAGTCACGCATGTCATGTCTGCTGACATTTCATTGGCCAAAGTTACATGCCACACCTGACTTCAAAAGGGGTAGGGAGGTGAGACCCTACTGTGTACTCAGGATAAAGAGGCATAGAATATGCCAGAAGAACCCTAATGACTGCCATGGGAGCAGAGAGAGGAAGAGCAGTGTCTGAAAGAGACTGGGATATGGCCTGAGGGGTGGGAAGAAAAACAGATGAG